AGGGAGAGTCAGTGAAGCTAGTAGTCAGATGGCTAAGACTGGCTGTGCTCTTGTGAAGAAGCAAATGCGTTCTGAGACCAGCGACACCCACACATTCTGGGGAGAGGAACCTACTGTCATCTACCAGGCAAGGCTGGATTCTGGATTCCAAATGGAGGGAGGTAGAAGGGGCAGTGCATGGAAGTTTGTCTTTAGGAACAGTCTGTACCTTTCCTTCCTTAACAGCTTACTTCAGGGAAGGATACAACATCCAATTTAAGCCCAGAAGAGGGAGGCCTGCCCACTTGACTTAGCTTTCCTCCCTAGTGTCTGGAAATTCTCAGCTTGGTGCTAGCTCAATGGCCTCCTTGCTGGCCTCCAAGGTTTACTGTCGCCTCCCAGGTGGGAGTGAAGACAATGGCAATGCAGTGTTAGAACTAGACCAAGAATGACATTTCCTGTCATCTCTCTTCTATACCTCCCCTTCGCCTTAGTGAATCTTCCTGGCTGCCCACGAGCTAGGTATTTAACCCATTTATTCATCTTTCTCTGAAGGAAGAGACCTTGGGACAGAGGTAATGAAGGACTTGTCCAGAGTGACTCATACAACAAAAGAGTGACAGTGCCCAGATTCCAACCCAAGTCTGTTTGATCCCAGAACCTGAGCTCTTAAACCCCTCACAGTCCTGCCTTCACATTCTTGTATTTATTTAACAAATATCTATGGGACATCTACTATATGCTAGATGCTGTTTTAGGTACTGGGGATAAAGCTGTGTGCAAAACAAACAGAATCCCTTGCCCTCATGGAGCTCATATTTTAGCTGCTAGGGGTAGGGTGGGACTGGGGAGGAAAGACAGATAAACAAATGAATAAGCAGGGCACTTGCATTGCATGGCTCAGTCGGTGAAGTGGTCTGACTCTTGGTTTTGGGTCATGTCATGATCTCATTGTGAGCTGCATTGGGCTCCATGCTCAGCATGGAGTCTTCTTGGGGTTCCTTTCCTCTTCCTCTCCCTTTCCCCCACCCCCAGTTATGCTCATGCTCTTTCTCTCTCTCTCTCTCTCTCTCAAATAAATAAATAAATAATAAAATCTTAAAAAAAATAATAGGTAAATGGCACCTGGGAGGATCAGTTGGTTAAGGATTTGCCTCTTGATTTCAGCTCGGGTCATGATTTCAGGGTTGTGGGATTGAGCCCCGACTCGGGCTCCGTTCTCAGTAGGGAGTCTGCTTCAGATTCTCTCTCTCTTTCTGTCCTTCCCCCGGCTTGCATGCTCTCTCTCTCTCTCTCTCTCTCTCTCTCTCAAAATAAATGAATAATGTGTTTTTAAAAATGAGTAAATAAAATAATTTATTTATGGTAAGCCTTATGGGAAAAATTGAGGGTAGACAATACCAAAGTTAGGGTGGAGAAGCAGATAGGAAGGGGGCTTAATTTTTCCTAGGGTGATGAAGAAAGGCTCATTGCAAAGATACTAATTTAAGCAAAGACCTGAAGGAGATGAAGTACAAAAGGGGAGAAAATTTGGCCAATAAGCAGTGTTTTCTCCTCCTCACCCTAGGTTTTATTGGGGGTATAACTGACATGTAACAAATTGCACAGTGAGGGGTCATTTACAATAATTCAGGCAAAAGACGAAAGTAGGTCAGACTAGGGTGATCGTAGTAATGAGCAGAGTTCTAGATTTATTCTGAATGCACAGCCAGTGGGACCTGCTCACAGATCTGATGTAGGGACAAGAAAAAAAGGGTTAGTCAGGGATTACTCCCCATTTTCTGGTCTGAGTCCCTGGGAGAATGGAGTTGCCAGTTACTGAGATGGAGAAGAATGGGTGAAAAGCAGATTTGGAGGGAGAAGAAAAATGATAACTTTGGTGGCTATATGTCAAGTTTGACTCGCCCACTAAACATCTGAGTGCGGCTACTGGGTAGACGGTTTGATGTATGAGGCTGGGGTAGAGAAGAGAGCATGTTTGCTTGCTTGCATGCTTTACAGCTTTACTAAGGTATAATTGACATATAATACACAGCACATATTTAAATATTGAACAGCATACTATTAATTAAGTTTCGCAATTTTGTGGTTATTTGTGTTTAAAATTTAAAGCACTGACAAATACAACCCAAATGTTCATTGACAGATGGGTGAAGAAGCAAAATGTGGCAGGTACATACAATGGAATATTATTCGGCCTTTAATAGGAAGGAAACTCTCACACGTGCTATGTATGAATGAACCGTGAGAACATGACACTAAGTGAAAAAGCCAATCGCAAAAAGACAGATACTTTCTGATTGAGTTTATATGAGGAATTTAAAGCAGTCACAAAGGGCTTGGAGACAGAAAGTAGAATGGTGGTAGGCAGAGGCTGGGGCAGGGGAAAGGGGGAATGGAGAATTATTGTTTAATGGATACAGAGTTTCAGCTTTGCAACATAAAAAATCTCTGGCAATTGTTGCACAACAATACCGAGATACTAAACGCTACTGAATTGTGCACTTAGAGATGGTTAAGATGTTAAATTTTATGTTATGTGTTTTTTTTAAAGATTTTTTAAAATTTATTTGACACAGAGAGACATAGCAAGAGAGGGAACACAAGCGGGGGAGCGGGAGAGGGAGAAGCAGGCTTCCTGCTGAGCAGGGAGCCCGATGCGGGGCTTGATCCCAGGACCCCGGGTTCACGACCTGAGCCATCAAGGCGCCCTATGTTATGTGTTTTTTTTTAACCACAATTTAAACAGTGTAATGCTGTGAAACAGCGCAAACAGCAAGGCATTTTTGTCTGGTAACTGCAGACTTCAGCTTGTACATGTACTATGTTGTTAGCTCAATTCGAATAATATCTTTGTGATTGAAATTTATGATTTGTATTAGTTCAGGTCCTCTAAGCTAAGATGAAATTAGACATGAAGAGATTTACTTAATGGGGGAAATGCCTGTGGTGGGCAAAGGAAATGAAGCTGAAGTAGCCTGCGAGAGTGTTCAGACCACAGTACAGGTCACACGGTTGGGAAAGAAAAGAGGGAAGATTGGAGAGGAAATTTCTCAGACGACAGCATCTAACAGCATTTCAGCCAGGCCAATGGGGAGTCCCTAAGTCAAAGTTGCCCATTAGATGAGTCCCTGTAACCACTTCTTACCTGAGATCACTTCTTCCATACAAAATAGGTGACTAGATGCACCAGTCACAGCTTCACCCCTTGAAAAGATTTTCCCGCTCTCCTGTCTTTCGGGGCCTCCCACAAATGTAGTTGTGATGCAGCCACCCTCCACGTTTGTCTTGTACTCGCATTCTAAACCAGCCCATGTCTAAACCAAGCTCAGGCTTTTCCCTCCTTTTTAGCTGGTCGTGACCCTGTCCCCTCCCTGTCCTGGGTGTAAGACAGGGCAAGTGTGGTGGAGGACAAGTTGGTCGGGACTTCCCACTCATGCAGCTTTCTCAAGCTCTTTGGACCCCCTGGGACTCGACCCTGGATAGAACATTTCCATTTTACAATGGACTGAAGTTGTGCCTGTCCAACTTTATGCCTCGGTGGGTCCAGCAGAACCCAGGTCCCGATGAGCGGGACTGGATGCATGTTTGAGCATTCCATCTCTACCAGAGTCTAGAAACAGGCCAGGAGCTCTTTTTCAAAAGGCATGAAATTTCCTCCTGTGGACGGCATGATCTTTTTCCAAAATTCCAAGTCCTGCATTGTGGTCTCTCCACTGGATCTTGCTTTAAGCTTCACACTGCCTCTTTCCTCTCCACAGATACCTCCAATACCATAGGGCCTGCTCTATCATATAGCGCAATTGACAGGGCTATTTGCGCCATAGCCTGGACCTGTGGCAGAGTCCTTTCTTGCCCCAGGCCCTCTTGGGGATGGCATCTATTTGTATCACCTGGTATACAAGCATATTAATATTTCTAAAAGTGGTCTGTATTGTTCCTGGAGAGACCTACCAGTAGAGAAAAGGTGATGGCACGACTCAGGCTCTCTGCTGTCATCTCCAGTAATTCCACTCTGGCCTCAAATCTGTGCACCCTGTGGAAAAAAAAACAGAAGTTTTTCTTTGGAGTTTAGTGACTATATGTTGACACTAAGGCATGTCCCTTGGTGGGAGAAGGTGGCTGACCTCCACTCCAAGTGGTTTATCAGAGCTTGGTTTCAAACCACATCCAGCGCCCACCTCCACCTCAGAGAAGATTGCCCCTTCTGCCCTTTGCTCTCTTCCATCCCGGTGGGAGCAGACAGAAAGCTGCCCTGCCGCCTTGCCTATCCTTGCCATGATGCACATCAGTGTAGAAGTTAACGGCATGGATTTTGGTTGCTGCCAGAGCTTGATTCCTTTCCTGTGTGACAACGGACCACTCACCTAAGCTGCCCTATTGCTCAGTTCGTGATCTGTGAAATGAAGACTGAAATACCAATTTTATAAGACCGTTTTGGGGGTTAAATGAAATGATGACTATGAAAAAGTGTGAGGCGCAACAGTGCTGCGATCCTCACTCCACTTTCAACAGCGGGTTTAGGGGCTCTTTTCCTCATTTAACTGGAAGCAAGAGCCGGAATTGTCTGTTCTGTATATTCCCCCAGGACATAATCCCTATATAGGGATGTCTCTTGAATTTATACCATTTAATAATGATCCAGGTTTTTTTCTTCTAGGAATGCAGGACATCGGTATCTGATGAGAGAAACTACACTTAGAATGTGTGAAGAACCAGAGGGAGGACCGAGTAGAGGCCTCACGATGAGGTAGGGAAAGACACTGCAACAAATAGAATTAACTTCCCTTATCTGTTTCCTCTATTTGGAGAATACGCAGAATAGTAGATAATATTACAAGGTTGTCGCAAGGATTTGCATAAACTACGCTTAACACGGCGCCAAGGGTGTAGTAAGTGCCGCGCAAGCAATAGCTGCTAGTATTAGCAAGTTAAGAATGATGGTTGAGTAAGTGTAGGTGTCTGTGCTCTGGTGAGCACGGGGCTGGGCGGAGCGGCGTCGGGCGGAGCCTCTGGGAGCCCCGCCCCTCACGCACGCGTCCGGTCGCTCCGGCAACGCAGAGCTAGGTCGCAGCCCGCGTGACGCTTGGCCGCTAGCACAGCACGCTCTTGGCCTCACTGAGCATTGGCAAGGGCCACTTGGGAAGAGCGATGACTGATGAGGACTCTGAGACCACTGTCAGCGAGTTGCAGAGCGGGGAGGAAAACGAGCTGCCTGTTATCCAGCTGTGTGGGCTGGTGGAAGAGCTCAGGTACGGCCGGCCGGCTTCTGGAGGCCCAGAGGTCCATTATACAACTTCTTGGGCTCACGGCGAACCCCCCTTCTAGCAGCTGAATAGATGTAACTTCTGTACGTCTATACCTAGTTTAGGGCAGAACTGACGTGATATTCCTAATAGCCACAATTTTTTGAAAACTTATTTTGTGCCAGTTATTTTGCACGTAGTACCTTCTATAATAGCACGGGAGCCCCAGAAAGTGGGTGAGGAACCAAGACACAGGTTAACTCACTTTCCTAGCCAGTGGTGGTGCCAGGATTTAAACTCAGGTGCGACTCCACAGCCGACACTGGGAGTGTCGACATGCTGGGTATGTATGTATGTATGTATGTATGAATAAATACATACATACATACATACATACATACATAATTTAAAAAGGTGTTTTGATTTCTCAGGTTTTCCATTGAACCTGTGTCCATTAATCTTAAGATTCAGGCTACAGGAATTCACTCAGGAACATATGAAAATATCCAAGCTGTTCATATATATAAGTAGACACATGCATAACCTGTATGTTATATATATGAAAAAGCTAAAAAGGTCAAAATCTTGGCAAGCATATACAGGATGAACTCTAGTTGTCACCTCTAGTTGTTTAAAAACTGTCTGTTCCAAGTTTTTCCACCATTTATAATACTCTTTATAATACACTTCTTGTGGATTTTTTGTCTCTTGGGTGCTGGAAAGAACAGCTGAGAAACATAAACCAAAGGAAACATCTGAAGATTGTGGCTAGGTAATAACTTCAAGCATGCAGTAATTCAGAAGGAATTTCACAAATGGTTTAGAAGATACTGGAAGGTGGAACTTGTAGCTTCATCTCAGCAACAATTTTCAATATAATCCTAGATCTTTCAACTTTGTGGCTCATTAGACATTTAAAAAAATCAAATATTTAAATAGCACTGTTCTAAAGGCTTTGCATTCCTTATTGCAACCCTGAATAATAGGTACTATTATTATTCCCATTTTACAAAAGAGGAAATTGAGGCACCAAGAGGTTACATGTTTTGCAGAAGGTATGTAATTGCTATTAAGTGTTAAACACTAGTTATTTGGGGTTTAAAGTCATATTAATAGAACTTACTCAGGTACCCTCTGTCTTGCAGCTATGGAAACTCTGCTCTCAAAACTGAGACGGAGATGTTTGAGAAATATTATAATAAGCTGGAGCCCAGAGATCAGCGACATCCACGATTATCAGAAATTAAAATATCAGGAGCAGAATTTGCACAGGTACACTGTAGTGACCTAAGAATTCTTTTATTCTGTTTGTCCCTTTAGATGCAAGTGGTTTTTGTGTATCTGCCTTTGGTATGCCCTCTGTGGCTGAGTGGCATATGATTTTCAACCTGTTCTACTTTTTTTTTAAAGATTTTATTTATTTATTTGACAGACAGAGATCACAAGTAGGCAGAGAGGCAGGCAGAGAGAGAGAAAGGAGGAAGCAGGCTCCCTGCTGAGCAGAGAGCTGGACTCGGGGGCTCGATCCCAGGACCCTGGGGTCCTGGACTGAGCTGAAGGCAGAGGCTTTAACCCACTGAGCCACCCACGCACCCCCTCCCTGTTCTACTTTTAATTCTTCCTTTCCTTCTAAGGTTCTCTTTCAAGTGAGTGTGACGGGAATCAGGTTCAATTATTAGTGGACTGACTCACCCAAAATATCTGAGTTTACTTGAAATAATTCCCTTAAATTGGGGGACTCCAATGTTTACAAGGCCCAGCTAACCACATATAGGAGTGAAGTAGGTCTGCTGTGGGCATGGGAAAGTTCCTCGCTCATCTCAAAGTCCAACCAGGTGGACTGGTATTGCCAGAGCAGCTAATTTTTCGAGAGAAGCTGGAAATCTAGATTATTTGGTGGTATCTCCTGATTTTCAAATGTGGGTAATTAATTTTTGAAAATTTAAAACTGGATGTAGATCTGTCTTTTGAGGGTCAATCTCTTCAGGCCCATATGTTTCTTAGGGCCATATGTAGGGAATCATGTCTGGTTTTTTTGCTGATCACTGTGCCCCCAGATGCAATTTCTCTTCTGTTTTCAGTTTAGGAAGCATTGAGCTCTGGGCTTCCCCTGACACTGACCTGAATGCTAGTCTTTAGCAGGTTCATAGTCCTTCCACACCCTCAAGACACATTCCCTTATTTATTTTCAGTTCATTATCCAGTATAGGCCTTTGAATTCTTTAACACAGGACTTAGGCTGACTGGTGAAATAAACATCACCTTGGGCCTAATATCCTGAATCCTTTCACTTTGAGTTTGTTCTCCCTGGCGGTCACTCAGAGTAATTTCTAGCAGGTCTGAGTGGTCATTTTGACACCCAGCTTGAGCAACAATTCCTACTTGACAATGACTTGGTTCTTCTTGTATTGCAGTTACGAGGCAGGCGTAGGTCCAAGTCCCGCATGGGTATGGACCGTGTGATAGGCCTCAGTTGTGACCAAAAATGTGAGCTTGTACAAAAGGAGCTGGAAGACATGAAGGATGAAATAAGGCACATGAGAGCAAATGCTGAACGAGATCTGCAGCATCATGAGGTATACCATTTTCTCTATAGCCCATCCCACCTGGGCTCCCCACTTCCACCTCATTGAGAAGTACCTGGAGTATGTTAATATTTTTGTTATTTTGAAAGAAATATAAGTAGGAGAAGACAAATATAAGGACTGCTTTTAAGGAACTTCCCACCTGCTTGAGGAGACAAGAAATTTTAAACTTTTATTTATTTATTTATTTGAGAGAGGGAGGGAGAGCAGTGAGGAAGGGCAGAGGGAGAGGAGAGAGAGAATCTCAAGCAGACTCTGTGCCAAGTGCGGAGTCTGACACAGGGCTCGATCTCACGACCCTGAGATCATGACCTAAGCTGAAACCAAGAGTCAGACATTTAACCAACCATGCCACGCAGGTACCCCTAAACTTTTTTAAATGGAAAATTTCAAAAATGCACACATGTATAGAGGCTAGCACAGTGGACCCCTGTGTACTCAACAGCCACATGCAACAGTCATGAACATATGGCTACCCTTGTTTCCTCCATATCCCAACTTCTCCCTCATGATAGGCCACTGGGCTATTATGAAGTGACACCTCAATATATCATCCATCTATAAATATTTTAGTATATGTCTCTAAGATATGGATTCTCTTTAAGATTTTATTTATTTGAAAGAGAGTACTCGGGCTGGATGTGAGTGAGGGGGCAGAGGGAGAAGCGGGCTCTCCACTGAGCAGAGAACCTCAATTCTGGGACCCTGGGATCATGACCTGAGCCAAAGGCAGATGCCTAACCGACTGAGCTACCCAGATGTCCCTAAGATATGGATTCTTAAAAGAAAAAAAACTATAATAACCATAAGTGCTTTAAAAATGTTTGGTAATTCCTAATAATATAAGGAATCTGGGGCGTAAGTCAGTGAGTTGGGTGAGAAATCCTTTAAATCGCCTTCTGTGTGCAGCATGCATGACCATGGTCCATGTCTTTTTGGAGACCAACCAAGGTCAGTTTTCCTCCAGAGAAGAAACATCAGTGTTAGTTCCGTTTCCCATGGGATGTAGTTATTAGCTTGCATTAGAGAGCATTATTGTATGAGGAACAGATATTTCTGTTCTGTTTCTAAATTTTTCTGTTTCTAAACATGAGCACACAGACTCACACTCATTGCCTCCAGAGGGACAGATCAGTAGACTCATGTCTTTATTGATGGAATTACCTGTACCACTTAAACCTAACCTTTCCTCCCTCTCTCCTTTCTTTGTGCCCTACCCCCTACTTCTCTCTCTTGCCAAACATGCATTGTTGAATTATAACATGTTAATGCAGGCTAGAGTAGCCAAAAAAGTCTTTTTTGAAGAGGTGGGGCTATACATAGGGCTTGGCATGGTCTTGAAGAATGATGAGGAATAAAGTAGAGGCTTAAGAAAAGAAGGGCACCCTAGGTCGGGTGAATGACATGAGCAAGAAGTAGAAGTGGGAATGAATGTGTGCTTTAGGGCCTATACGAGGAAACTGGGGCTGTGAGACCTTGAGAGCCAGGCAGGGGAGTTTATCTTTGATGCCTTAGAAAGCAGGACCCTGATAAGGATGGCTGAGCAGGAGAGCAAGTGACAAGCTGAAAGTGGCAGTTATGGTGGATTGAAGTTCCTGCAGGTGGAAACCACAGGGAGAGGGGAGAGGCTGGCCAGTGAAGGAAGATGCTTTTGCTTCTTGGTGCCCAGGGACAAGGTCAGGACTGAGATGATTTGCTCTACAGCTACAGCTAGCTTTTCATTTTATTCTTTCAAATAGCATGTGTGTGTGTGTTTCCTTATTTAAAGACAATCTCTATGTTGTAGCAAAATTTGAATGTAGAAGTAAGCTAAAGGAGCATTTGTAAACATCCAGAATCTGCCTAGAGATAATTAGTGTTGACACTTGTGTTTATCTCCTAGAGTTTAGATTATTTTCTGGACATATATGAATTTATTTATAAAAAATATTATATTATTTTGTAAATTGTATTTTGCACTTACTGTCTTTCCATGTCAATACATATATTCATTTATACCACTTTCAAATTGCTGAAGTATATATATAAAGACTGTTGGTCTCCCTAGTAATCCGTCTCTCTGGATGTGGCTAATGTTTTGTTGTAATGTTTCCAGATTTTTTTTTTTTTAAGATTTTATTTATTTATTTGACAGGGAGAGAGAGAGAGAGATCACAAGTAGGCAGGGAAAGCCGGCAGAGAGAGGGGGAGAAGCAGGTTCCCTGCTGAGCAGAGAGCCCAATGCGGGGCTTGATCCCAGGGTCCTGGGATCATGACCTGAGCCGAAGGCAGAGGCTTTAGCCCACTGAGCCACCCAGGCGCCCCCAGATATTTTTTATATCCTATCCTATCCTATTATATTATATTATATATTATAATATAATTAATGTTATATATATAACATATTATATAACATATTATATATATCATTATATATAGTCTATATTATATATAATATATAATGTATAATAATATTATTATATAACATATAATAACATATATAACATATAATATTATATAGTTATATAACATATTAATGTTACAATTTTTAGTGGATAAGTATTATTTCAGATATGGAAATGTGTATGTATAGAGATACCTGAGGCCCTGTTTTTATTTGTTTACCACCTTCTTATGGATGCCCCCCCTTTTTTGAGGCCTGCTTCTTTTAAAAATTTTTGTTTATTTGTTTGAAAGAGAGAGAGTGTACCAGCAGTGGGGGAGGGGCAGAGGGAAAGGGAGAAGCAGACTCCCTGACAAGCAGGGAGCCTGATGCCATGGGGCTCGGTCCCAGCATCTGGAGATCATGACCCGAGGCAAAAGCAGACATTCAACTGACTGAGCCACCCAGGCGACCCGAGGCCTGCTTTTTAATGGTAACATTCCCATAGTCAAATTTGTATCTTATCAATATATTTCTAAGGCTAAGAAGAAACATTATGTATTAGACACAAAGAGGCCTGAGAATTTAGGTTTCCTCAGAGGGAGCTGTCCCTGAGGATTTTTGGAAACTGTTCTTTCTTTGTGCTGACTCCTGCAGGCTATCATTGAGGAAGCTGAAATTCGATGGGCTGAAGTTCAGAGAGCAGCGTATGATTTTAAAAAAGATATCCTAAAAACCATATCCAAGAAGAAAGGGAGTATTTTGGCCATTCAGAAAGTGATGAAGTACATTGAGGACATGAACCGCCGGAGGGTGAGTTGGCAGGAGGCCGGAGCTTAGAAAGGGAGAACAGATTCAGAGGATGAAGACATAAAAATGATCTACGTGAAGCGCCCCACTCCATTTGGTCCGCCATAAATGCTCTCCCCACATGCAGATTTATTGCATCCCCCAAAGTGTATGTCTTAAAAGGCACATTTATCAAGGCTGAAACCAATCAGGCTGGGTGAATATTAATAGTATCTCAGACTGATTTTTTTTCTTTTTTATTGTTGCTATTTGTTTCAAGATCTGATATGTTTCCTAGAGAAAAGTGAGGCAAGTCTATCTAATCAGGTGACTGCAGGGAGGGGGACAGGTAAATCTCAAGCTCTTTAAGTTCCATTATTATAACAATGAGGCATAAAATGTTCCTTCACTTTCAAAGATTTTGTAGCATGTCGAGCTTTGGATCCTGGACATAGGTAGGGTTACTAGCCCTAACAATGTATAAGTGATGAAAAATTATATAAACTACCAAGAGAATAAAAGACTGGAGAATCATAAGGTTGTTTTGTCAGGAATGACCCCTATATCCAAATGATACACCCCAATAATCTCGAATTTAAAAATAGTAGAAAATTTGCACAAAGCCTAACAAGTTACTTCTGCTTCTTGGTCATGAGTGAAGTGTTTTTTGTTTTTCGGGTTTTTTTCTTTTTTTTTTTTCTTTTTAAGATTTATTTGAGAGAGAGAGCCCACACAAGTTGGGGGAGAGGGCAGAGGGAGAGGGAGAAGCAGACTCCCTGCTGAGCGGGGAGCCCAACAGAGTGCTCTGTCCCAGGACCCCGGGATCATGACCTGAACCCAGGCAGATTCTTAACTGACTGAGCCACCCAGGTGCCCCTGTCATGAGTGAAGTGTATACCAGCTCCAGTAAATGCAAGAAGACCTGAAAATAAGTGACTGAATGTTAGGACTCAAGGTCTGGCTTATAGCCCCAGCCCTACCAACTTTTCAAACCAACAGGGAAGATGAAGAGGAGTGGATTAAAATTTACTTGTATTTTTTAGGATAATATGAAGGATAAATTACGTTTGAAAAATGTTTCTCTCAAAGTGCAGAGGAAAAAGATGCTTTTACAATTGAGGCAGGTATGTGGCTCTTTCTTCCTTTCTCTCTCTCTCTTTCTTTCTTCCTTCCTAAGGTTACCATGGAAGGTAGAACAATGCGTTCCCAAAGATGTCCATGTCCTAATCTCTGGAGTCTGTGAATCTGCGGCTTCACATGGCAAAAGGATTTTGCAAAGGTGATTAAGTCAAGGATTTTGAGATTATCTTAAAAATAATCTCTCTTGACCCAAAGGGAGATTATTTTGGATTATCTGCATGGGCCCAATATAATCCCAAAGGAGGCAGGAGAGAGAGGTGGAATACTGGAAACAGAAATTAGAGTGATGAACCTTTAAGGTAGAGGAAGGGATCACAAACAAGAGAGAACAGGCAGCCTCTAGAATCTGGGAAAGGCAAGCAAACAGATTCTCCTCCAGGGCCTCCAGAAGGAATGCATCTCTGCGAAAACACCTTGAGTTTAGGCCCAAGAACCATTTTGGACTTTGGACCTTGTGAGCTGTAAGATAATCGATTTTTGTTGTAAGCTACCGAGTTTGTCGTAATTTGCCACAGTGGTGATAGGAAGCTCCTACTGTTACAGTGCCGGCCCAGCCAGACAGAGTTGGCTTGAATTTACACTTGTGGCGTACTTGTTGACCCCTCTTGGTGAGTGTGGCCTGGATGGCACACTTTGAGGGTGCTTTGGTCACCTGTGCATCAGACTAAAGCTTCCTGATGGAAGGCAGTAAGCAGATAGGGCACAGGGCCTCTTGAATGTGATTACGTGGCTCCATCCCTTGAATTAACTCGAATATGGGCACCGACGGCTTGTGCATTAGAGGTGGCCACTGCCAATGACACAGAGTTGTGCAAATTAACACACTTGGAGCTATTGCCTGCTTGACTTGGGATCCCGAAAGATGACAGGCTAGGACAGCTTCAACAACACGAAGTGACTGAGGACAGATGTCAGCTCCTCCACTTTGATGCCCCAGGATGTCTGCACAGGTGCCAGGTGGCTTACCCGTAGAGTGCCTGATAAAGTCAGCTCAGTGGGAGGCGATGCTGTGCCCTGGGGTGCACCGAGAGAACCACAGCCCCCCCCCCCCAAGAAAGGGGTGGGCTTGCTCCTCTTGGTGTGAGTAGGCCTACCTGGAGCACCGTGTCTCCAGGAGAGCTGCTCTCTGGAAAGAATCGGGAACCTAGGGCTTACACAGGAGAGGGAGCTGGAGACCAAGGGGGAACGGAGAGCCTATCAGACGACCTGGGATTGATGGGCCCAAGCGGACTCAGGAGGACCAGCTGCTGGCTCCAGGTGCACAGCGGCTGTGGGGAGGAGAGAACGTGCTGTTCTGGAGGTCCCCAGCAGAGCAAAAACTGGAGGGGCTGTGTCATCGAAGGATTTGAGATTATGAGATTAGTGTAAGAAAGGAGAGAGGAGCTGCCTCCAGATAGAGAGTTTCTGGTACTCCAGGCTTTGTGCATGCTCAGGCCTCCTGAGGAGGGGGTTTGAGTGTGAGAGAGGGAGGAGATGAGTGACTTCTAGCCTAAAAGCCATTGCTGCACAAAGCTGACCCTGAGGTGGTCCTGCCCGCAGGAGCTCAGATTAGCAGCCAGTGGGGATGGTAGGAAACAGCGGGATGCCCTAACTGCTAGCCAGAGGCAATGGGCAGCAGGGACCACAGAGCCGCAGGTGGGGGAGTCTCCTGGTGTGGAAATGGTTTAGGAGTGTTTGAGTTGCCGGATGGGTCATTACTGGGAATTAAGGAAATTGTTGTGTTGGTTTAGGGGACAAGAAAGAAGCCTCCTTGGAGGCAGTATTGCATGAGTGGAGCGTGGGGCTGAGGAAGAGTTCCCAGGTTTGGCTCTTGGCCTACCACCCATATGAGATGGCCTAGACCTGGTGGGGCAGGTAAGGCGGGCCAGGCCAGGGAAGGGACCCAAAACACTGACATAGCCATAGTACAGAGATGTCACATGATCACAGAAAGGGAATTATGGGCTGCTGGTCCTGGGTTTTCCAGGATAAAAATAACTTTTATATGGTCTCCTTCTTATTCTTCTTTCATAGCCCTGTTTAGACACTACCTCTTGTGGGAAGACTTCCCTGACCCAGTCTTCCATTCTTCTCTGGCCTGGCTGAGGAGCTTCCGTGTATCCTCTGCCCCTCCCACTACACCACACTGCGACCTGTCTGTGAACCCTGGTTGAATATGTGCTCCTTGAGGCCAGGGAGCATTGTATTTATTCAGATCTCCACTCCAGTGCCTTGTATCACACCTGGCACCAAGCAGATCCCCAGCCCGTGTTTGTTGAATGACTGAATGATGACTGACTTTCAGAATCTCATCTAGAACTGCAAGGTGTGAATCAGATTCCGAAGTCATAACCTCACATCATTTCTTTCTTCTTTCTGAGCTGTAGAAGGAAGAGGTGGGCGAGGCTCTCCATGAGGTTGATTTTCAGCAGCTGAAGATCGAGAATGCTCAGTTTTTAGAGACAATTGAAGCAAAGAATCAAGAACTGATCCAGCTAAAGCTGGCGTCCGGAAACACCCTGCAAGTCCTCAATACTTACAAAGTAAGGTCTGCCCTGATGCCCAGGTCCCCGAGGCCTCCCACACCCACCTTTCCAGCCACAGTGAAGTTCCCATGCACCACTGTGGTGCTACACAAGGGCTTGGGGCCCTTCCGTCTACTGTTGCTCCCCGATTTCTCTTGACAAAGCCATTCTCAAATACTCTGAATGTTCCCACAACCCTAGCTGTGCACTGCAACCACCCAGAGAACTTTTTTTTTTTTAAATATACAGACACCCTAGTCTAGCCCTGGCCAGTTGAATAAGGGGGTAAGGGCCATGCATCTATTTTTTTTATAACGCCCTCATGATTTTTATGCACATTTTGAGAACTAACCACATTAGGGCCCTGTTTAATTTAGGCCTGTAAGAAGCACTTCTCTGCTTAAAACCCTCCAGAAGAAAACTGTCTTATCTAAAAATCAGAAAACTAGTATATAATTCCTTATCCACACAGAACCCTTTTGGGAGAGAGGGAGATACTGTTAATAACTAAGCAGGGTCCATAGCCGGGAATGCCCCAGCCACCCTGCTAGGAACTATGCAGTGTTGGAGTCAGCTGACTGGGGCCAGTGTATCCTGCCACTGGCCTGTGAGCATGGTTTTTCCAGAAGGGTATTCGTAACCAATTTGATAGAGAATGCTACCTTTGAAATCCAATTAAGCAAAATTGGTCTCTGCCCCAGAAATTCCATTCTTCTCATTAGTAGATCTGTATTCCAAAATGTACTTAATGATTATATTTTGAATGTCATCAATAAAACACGTGGAAATTTGTTTTTTTCTTTTGTTAATGTAAGTAATTACATAATATCCTCAATTTTGCCTCTTGGCCCGCAAAGCCCAGGTACTGGCACTCTGGCCTTTTATCGAGCAAGGTGGCTGACCCCTGGCCTCCTGCCTGCAGGACAGTTGTGGCTGCAGGTTTAGGTAACTCACAGGTGGTCTTCATTCGGCCCACATAGTATCATTTTAAAAAGTAAATTTGGAAGTGTTTAGATTAGATTATTATGTTTGTCCAGCACTTTGCTTTTTAAAAATGAAAAACCTGAAGTCCAAAGAGAGAGTAATTGCCAGCTTCCAGCAACAAGTTTGTGACAGGCTCAGGTTCCTAGTCCAGTACATGTCCCACCTAAGCCAACTGCCTGTGTCTGGCATAAAGCACATAGACAATGTTGTGCTGGCGTTTTGAAATTCATGTGTCAGCTCTCTGCAACAGATCATCCACTCATCAGTAGTTAGCTTATCTGATTGCTGTTACTTCAAGATAAAGCCAGTCCCCGTAACTTGAGCTTTCATAGGCTGGAGAGCTGGGTAGTACATGGTGACATCACATTGGATCTTGATCGTATCCTGTGGAATCAACCTAAGTAGCACAGGGCCTGTCTGGTCTTGTGTAGAAAAGCCAGGGCTTTGGAGTGGAGCTACTGGTTTGTAACATGAAACTGCCAGGCCCAGGGCAGCTCTTTAGGGCAGATCTAAACACAGAGGACAGATTGCAATATCTGTGCAGCAGCAACCCAGGCCACAGTGGGTGGAATGGGAGCTCCTCCAGCCAGAATCCCAGGCGTCACCATGCCTGTAGGCCTGTTTCAAATAATAGTAATCGGATGGTGGAGCTTGGAGGAGATGCCTACGGGAGTGCTACGGTGGACGCAGTGATGGTTTGAGGGAGATGCAAACTCATTTCTTCCGTGTGTCAGTTCTTAGGTCTTCTGGGAGAAATGGAGGTGGAACCACTGTTGAGTTTGGGGTCAGGCCTCACCTGGACTTGAGAGGGAATTCCAGTAGGGATCATGGGTCAGTGGCAGGTTTTTCTGATTTGCCACCAGGATAGAGCTCAGGTTGGTCTGTACTGTGTTCCTAGTACCGAGGACAGTGCCTAGCCAAAGCAAGTCCTCAACCAGTATTGTCACATGAGCTGCTAGCACTTGAGGTATGTATTTAGGGGGTGGGAGGGTGGCAGGATAGACCAATTTCATGTAAATATCAGCACCCACGTCTCAGACCTTGGAAAAGCTTGCAGAATAAGTATTACCAATGTGTTCACTTTAGTAACGCACGTATAGAATACCTGTTACCAAACATACAAGGAGGTGTAGAGTGCCAGACACCGGGCTGAGGGCTGAGGGTGTGGGTATGAAGGAGACAAACATGGTCTCCTCTGTGAATTTGGTGCGTGAGCTTCAGCCAAGGGGGCACCTTTATCTCCAACTTTATGCTGTCGAGCCCTGCGTGGTGGAATCTGGTAGCATGTAAGCATGTGATGACAGTCGTGATGTGTCGTTCCTAACTGGCTGTAAACTAGTGATCCCCATGTGAACTAGTGCCTTGTAGGTAGAATTCCAGGATGTGTCCCAGGGCTCTCCACCTACCGTGTATACCCAGTACAATCTGCAAGGCTAAGTATCATGGGTTCTACTATTAGGTTCTGTTCTGTTCTGTGATTATGAATATGATATGCCGTAGTTGACGTTAAAATAGGGAGACTATTGGATGGGCCTGACCTAATCACATGAGCCCTTTGAAGACAGATAGTTTTGTCTGGAAGAGGAAGTCAGGAATTTGTAGCGCAGAGGGAATTCTCTAGGCGAGAAGTTCTCCACTACTGGCTTGAAGGGATATCAAAGAGCAGAGGGCCACCTCCTACTCACAATTAGAAAGAAACAGAGATATCCGGCTTACAACTTAGAGGAAATGCTTTCTGCCAACAGTCTGTGAGCTTGGGAGAGGAGCCCAGCTCCAGAGGAAAGCCAGCCTGGCTAACATCCTAACTGCAGCCCCAGGGGACCCTACCTGGGCAGAGAATCCAGCCACACTGTGCCGGACTTCTGACCTGTAGAAACTGAGAAAAACTATGGGTGTTGCTTTATGACACAAAATTTGTGGTAATTTGTTACATAGCAAGAGAAAGCTAAAGTGCCTTTTTGGAAGTAGCCACCTCAAGTGGCCGACATTCTGCTCAGAATCACAAATAGCTCGCCTCACACCTTCCGAGTCAGGAGCTGCCTTGCAGTAGGCCTTGCAAATCCATTCTTTCCTGCCCCCACTCTCTGCATTGTCCCTCTGCTCTCCTTTCCTCCCACCAACTTTCTGGTTTGTGGTGGAATCCTGTGCTGCCTCCCCTTCCCCGCAGCCCACGCTCTCATTCTGGTCTTTTAACCCAGGGCACTTTCCTAAGCAGAGCCATGTCGTACAGGATGGGGAGCAGCAGTGAGCCTTAAAGAAGGGAGGATTGGCGAGAAGAGGAATGGGGGGCGGTGGCCTCAGTGCCCTGAGGTCCCCAGGAAGGTGGCTCCAGGCTTTTCTGCTAGGTCTAGGATTTTATACTCTGGACATACTGTGCCAGCACCCCCCCTTTCCCAGGCTTTTCCTTAGCTTGGCTTCCCCCCCTCCACACCTCTTACTAGACATGTTCAACAGCCTTTCAGCAACCTTTCCAGTACCCTTTCCCCCAGGGAAACCCCCACCGCTGTCCTCACATTCTCAGTGCCAGGCACAGTGGCGGCTTTACATGGCCGGGGGTGCCTCCGTCTAGGTGGTGAGCCGGCCTCTGGCTGGCAGGGCCCAGACTGTCGTGCTGGTCAGTGCCTAGGGCAGGGTGAGTGCATTTCAGAGTCCGTGGAGCGATCCCCCCGGAGTCACTGGCTTCTGTCACTGGCTCTTCAGCCCAGCAGAGCATGTCCCAACTCCCCCAGGCTCACCCTTCCCTGCTGGGAGACAAAGGTGTAGCGAAGGGGGCAAATCTGAGAAGCAGGGGCCTGGGGGGAGCTGGTGAAGGACAGTGGCAAGTGATGTGGGGGGCAGCTGCGGGCCAGTTCGGGCAGGAGCCCTCCAGGGTCAGTGGTGGTGGAGCCCGCGGGCCCTGGACTCAGATTGCCCAGGTTCAAGCCCTGCTTAACCTCTTATCCCTATGACCCTGGGCAAATTGTTTTCACTCACCAAAGAGTCAGTTCTTTTGCCTGTAAAGTGGGATGCCAGTAGCACCTAGCTCACGGGGAGTGTTTCCTCTTTCTTCATGTCATAATGGCAGTCACTTGCATGAGTGTTCTCCATGTGCGGGGGGCTCTCTGCTCGGCACTTTACCACGATTTTCTCCCTTGAGCCTCTCCACAACCCTGTGAGTTGACCAGCCCAAGTTTAGAGAGGTTCTGGGACTGGCCCAAAGTTTTTTTTAGTAAATGGTGGGGGAGAGTTTGGGTCCTGGTGTGTCCAGCCACTCTGCAGGTCTTTACTTCCCTGTAGGCACCAGGATTCTGAGAAGGGCAGGCTTGGGTTCCTGGATGGCCTTGCTGTCATCCTGCTTAATGAAGAACTGTCTTATCTTTCCTGTAGTTCTGAGTGATCATCTTTGCTCAAGACTTGCTTGTTGTTATATTTCAGAGCAAGCTACACCAGGCAATGGAAATGTCCATCAGTCTGGATAAGGAGATCTCGCTGAGAAATGAGTTACTTGAAAAAATTGAAAGAGAAACCCTACAAGTAGAACAGGTAGGAGAGGGTAAAATGTGCTATTTCTGGTGTTTGTCTCCTTCTGTCTATAAACACTTGAGCCAACGTACACCAAGACCCAAGCCACCTTGGTTTTTGTCTAGAAAAGCCTAGACCATAAAAGCAAAATATGTCTGGGCCGCTGGAGAGGAAGTGGTACCTGGAGACTCATAGTCCAGTAGAATTTTACTGCTGGGTTAGGGTCTAGAGTCAGAAATCATGTGGAAATGACCAAACCATTTAGAAATCATGTAGAGCCCAAATAACCCTCAAGAATAACCTTCTTATAACCCTTTGGGACCCATAAAGTACCACACTCAAAGTGTCATGTATACAGCATCACAAAAAGGCCTGTAATGAGTGTAATCATCTAACCGGTATGAGAAAAAATGCACATGCCAAAATATAGTGTTCTATGTACAGGAGGGAGAGTTTTCTTTAAACATGTAATTTTCACTCAGTACAGTGGATGCTGGGATGACAGACCTGTGACCTCTGTCCTGCGCCCACTCCAGGGCCTGCGGTCACTGTGTGGACAGACAGGTGGCATTATCTGAGCACCTTACATCTCCATTGTGATTTTGTGCTCTCAGTATTTTGCTGAGCACATACATTTGAATTTCACCAAGCTAAGTACACGAAAGATGTGACTCAAGAGGACTTTTTTAGAAAGATGAGGGCAAGAGCGTAAGCTTTGGTGTTGCCAGGTTCTGGCTTTGAACAGGCCTTTTAATGAGACAGGCCTCGGTTTCCGCACGTGTGAAAGAGGCGTCACAGGCCTTGTGGTGACCTGTGAGGACCAGGATGGTGATGCTTTGTCAGCCTCCCAAGCCATTAATACAGCTGTTGGTGGCCTTGTCTTGAATGAGTGTAAGTGTCCCCAGCAGTGTGCGTGGCCCCAGACCTGTCCACAATAACTGAAAAGCCATAGGATGACTACATCTGACTCAGTTTTGTCATGGCATCTAAGTCCTGTCCTCGATGGAGAACCGACAGATGCAGAGAAGTGGGTCTTGGTACAGAGTAGCCAGGAATAAAAGTAAAGCAAAAGTCTGTGTGCTCTCCCCATGCAGGATTTCTGTGGTATTTGTTTGGGTGGACACTTATTAGATTACAAGTAAAATACAACATCAGTTTTTAAAAGCCTGGAAGTCACTTGTTAGTATATTTTAGTTTTCTTGTGAACTTTTTTTTTAAACAGCTTTGTTGGGTTATAACTCATATACCATGTTATTCTCCCATTTAAAATGCACATTTTAATGATTTCTAGTATATCCCCAGAATGATGTAACCATCAGAACAATATTTTAGAAAATATTTGTCACCCTGGAAAGAAACCCTGTACCTTCAAGAAATCCTTGTCTGTTCCCCACCTCATCTTACTCCCACCCTTCAGCCCCATGACCACTAATTCACTTTCTGTCCCCGTGAATTTGCCTGTTCTGGACATTTTGTTTAAAAGGGATCAAACAGGGCGCCTGGGTGGCTCAGTGGGTTAAAGTCTCTGCCTTCAGCTCAGATCATGATCCCAGGGTCCTAGGATTGAGCCCCACATCGGGCTCTCTACTCAGCAGGGAGCCTGCTTCCCTTCCTCTCTCTCTGCCTGCCTCTGCCTACTTGTGATCTCTGTCAAATAAATAAATAAATAAATTTTAAAAAAATAAAAAATAAATAAAAGGGATCATACAGTATGTGGTCTTTCACTGGCTTCTTTAACAATATTTTCAAGATCTGTGCTGTAGTACGTGTCAAGACTTTGTTTCTTTTCATGGCTGAATCGTATTTCCTTGTACGGGTAGACCTCATTTTAGCCATTCATCAGTCGAGGGGGTTGTTTCCCATGGGTTGTTTTAGGATCTAATGAATAAAGCTGCTGTGAACATTCACATACAAATTTCTGTGTAAATGTATGTTTTCTTTTCTCTTGGACATACAGCTAAAAGTGGAACTGTAGATCATATGTGGTGATGGTGTGGTGAACATTTAGAGAAACTGCAGAACTGTGTTTGAAAGTGGCTGTGCATTCTACATTCCCACCAATGTGTGAGGGTTCTGATTTCTGCACAGCTTCACTGACACTTGTTATTTTGGGTTTTTTCTGTTTGCCTTTTAATGGCTGTCCTAGCGGGTATGAAGTGACATACCTCACTGTGGTTTTGATCTGAATTTCCCAAATGACTAATGACATTGAACATCCCTTCGTTTGCTTATTGGCCACGTGTGTTTTTTTGAGAAATGTTTATTCAAACCCTTAGTTTGAATATTTATTCAAACTATGTTTATTCAAACCCTTAGCCCCTGAGTAAGTTTTTAATTGAGTTGTTTGTCTTTTCATAATTGAGTTGTAAGAATTCTTTATGTATTCTGGATTCAAATACTTTTTGGATATATGATTTGCAAATATTTTCTCCCATTCTGTGGGTCTCCTTCTCACTTTAAGATGCTATTTTTAGGGGCGCCTGGGTGGCTCAGTGGGTTAAAGCCTCTGCCTTCAGCTCGGGTCATGATCCCAGGGTCCTGGGATCGAGCCACATATCGGGCTCTCTGCAGGGAGCCTGCTTCCCCCTCTCTCTCTCTCTGCCGACTTGTGATCTCTGTCTGTCAAATAAATAAATAAAATCTTAAAAAAAAAAAGATGCTATTTTTAGTTTCTAACTTTGGTGAGCCCCCGTTTATCTATTTTTTCTTTTGCACTGGAGCTTTTGGTGTTGTATCTAAGTAACCATTACTTAATATCATGAAGATTCAGTCCTATGTCTTTGGTTACAAGTTTTACAGATTTTATGTTAGGGTTTATGATGCATTTTGAGTTAATCTTTTGAATGTGAGGAAGGGATCCAGAAGCTGAGAGAAGAAAGGAAATGAAGTATGTGGGTTTTGTTTTTTTTTTAAGTAGGCTCCACACTCAGTGTGGAGCCCAGTGCAGGGCTTGACTCATGACCCTGAGATCAAGACCTGAGCTGAGATCAAGAGATCAAGAGTTGGACGCTCAACTGACTGAGCTGCCCAGGTGCGTCAGACATGAAGTATGTTCATAGTGTTTGTTGTATTAGCCTTTGTCTTTACCATTGTGTGGTTCTCCATTTCTTCCTCTGGATTCGAGTTACCATCCGATGTTATTTCCTCATTCAAATATAGTTTTGTTTTACCTTGCCTTCTTTTTGCTGTAATTGTCAAATATATTGTTTTTATATGTCACAGGTCCACGATAGAATTATATACATATTGCTTTATAAATTTATATATAAATTATATACATATTGCTTTTTAAATCAGTTGAGGAGAATATAAAATTTTACTTCCTTTATAATTACTTACCTAATTATCTTTACTTGTGCTATTTGTTTTCACATGGTTTTAAGTTACTTTAGCTTGAGCTACTTTCACTAGTTTTCAGCCTGAAAGTCTTCCTTTAGTACATCTTGTAAGGCAGGTCTGCTTGCAATGAATTCTCTCAGTGTGTGTTTGGGAATGTCTTTATTCTTCATTTTAAAAACTAAGTTTACTTTGTAATTGTTTTTGAAAATTGTGGAGAGTGCAGAGTTCCCCCAAATCTCACACCCAATTTTCCCCATCATTAACATCTTACAGTGGAATATTTATTAAAATTGACTAACCAATATTGATGTCTTATTATTAATATTTATAATATTAATATTTATAATTATATTTATAATTTATAACATATAAATATAAAAATATTTATAACTTATAATTAATATTATTCATATAGACTTGGTTTTTACCTGATGTCCTTTTCTGTACTAGGATCCCATCCAGGATAACACACTACATTCAGTTTCACATCTCCTTAGGTTTTTCTTGGCTGTAATAGGCTTTACTTTTTGTTGTTGATGACCTTGACAGTTTTGTGAAGTGGTCAAGTATTTGTCAAGGATTTGCTGTCTTTCCTGGGATTAGCCTGAGGTTAAATGGTTTTCAGGAGGAAGACTGTAGAGGTGAAGTGCCATTTTCATATTATATCAAGGGAGCATACTCTCAACATGACTTACCATTGCTGATGTTAACCTTGATCACCTGCCTGATGTAATATTAAAAGGGTTTCTCCACTGTACAGTTACTCTTTCCTTCAATTTTCTGGCTTAACTCTTTGGAAGGATGTTACCCTGTGCAGCCCACACTTAAGAACTGGGAACTTATAAACTATTTGGAATTCTTCTGTCTGGGCATTTGTCTATTCTCCATTTGTTTATTTTTTTATCATTTATTTATATCAGTATCAATTTATGGATATTAATTTTAGTATATGTGCTGTTGAAGTGAGCATGGATATTAATTTTATATGTTGGATAATAACCTAATATTTGTTTTATTACTGACATGTTTTACCTTGGGCATTGGAAGCTCTTTCAGTTGGCTTCTGTGTCCCTTCGACATATTGCCATTTATGTGTGTGTGTGTGTGTGTGTGTGTGAACACTTTTTTTCTGGCACTAGAAAATACTTGCAACTCATTTCCTATATTTTCTGCTCCAGCCCTAGAATTAGCCATTTCTCCAAGGAGTCCTGGTTCCTTTTATTTGAGAATAGCATTGGAAGCCAAAATCTGAGTGTACTTGTTGTTTGCTTTCATTTATGAAAGATAGTTTTGCTGGATATAAGATTCTTGTTTGACAGATTTTTTTAATTATTATTATTATTTTTCATTGAACCCTTAGAATATGCCATCCCACTGCTTCTGGCCTCCATTGTTTCTGATGAGAAGTCAGCTATTACTCTTATTTTGTTTCCCTTGAATGTAACGCATTGTTTTCTCACTGCTTTCAGTGTTTTCTCTTTGCCTGTCATTCAGCATTTTGGGTCTGATGTGTCTGGGTGTGGATTTCTTTCCAGTTTCCTACTCAGAGTTTTTTGAGCTTCTTGAATATGTGGTTTAATATTTTTCATCAAAACAATATTTTTCATCAGATTTTGGAAGTTTTCAACCATTATTTCCTTGAATATATTTCCTTTGTCTTTCTCCTCTCCTGTTATTTTCATTATATGAATGTTGGTACACTTAGTAGTGTTCCACACATTTCTCTGAGATTGAATTTTTCTTCTTTTCCTCTGTGTTTTCCATATTGCATGATCTCTATCAGTCTACCTTCAAGTTTACTAATTGTTCTGCTGACTTAAATCTCTGATCTCCTTCTGCGAATTTTTCATTTCAGTTATTGTATTGAAAATACTCCACATTTTCCATTTTTTAAAAAATAATATCTCTTTATAGATATTTTCTATTTGATGAAACATTATCATCATATGCTCCTTTAATTCTTGAAAAATGGTCACCTTGGTTCTTTGAACATATTTATAATAAATGCTTTGAACTTTGCTAAGTCCACCATCTGGACTCCCTCAGAGGCAGTTTATGTTGCTTCCTTTTTTTCCTGTGTGGGTCACACTTTCCTGTTGCTTTGTCTATCTTGTAATTTTTGTTGAATACTGGACATTTTAGATAATATAGCAATGCTGGATACTAATTCCACCCACCACTTGTTTATTTAGTGATTTGGCTGGATTAATTTAGTAAATTCTCTTTCTCCTGCTGTTGGTAGCCTCTGGTGTTGCTCCTTAGAGGGGGTGGCGTTGGTCATAGATAGTGTCCATGACAACCAGGAATGATTGGCATTTCTGCTGAGTTCTCTTCACTCTCCTTCATCTTCCTGTGAAGCTTCTAGCTGGTATAGTTCTATTGGTATCATACCCAGCTGTTAGCCTTCATTAATTACTAGCTGTTTGCTCTGTTGCTTTCAGCAACACCCTGGGACATTAACTGCGGCACATTCTGATCTAATCAAAGTCATGCCCCTTTTCAGGGACCTTTTTGGCAGTCTTCGAGGTTTGCTCCAACCCCAGTGGTCTCTTTCTCCGGTTCTGTTAAATATCTTGCTGGTCCTCTGTTTTACTTGTTGCTACTGATATTGTAGAATTATGATCTCTTAATGATTCTTTCTCTGGTCTGTTAAACATCTAGCTGGTCTGTTGTTTTGGTCTCTTAATGGTCTCTTTTTCTGGTTCTGTTAATCATCTAGCTGGTCTACTGTTTGGCTTGTTGCTACTAATATCATGGAACTTCCAGCTGCCTCTTAATTGCTCACCCCAAAGATCTCCATTGTTTTCCACAAACTACTTGGGCATGAACTCCCCACGCTTTGTTCCAAAAACAGTCAGTCCTTCCAGGCAGCATTCTAGAGCTATTTTATAGCCTCTCCCCTTGAGCAAAATTTCTGTACTGTTGCCGTGGATCTCAGGATGGGAAGAGTGGTCCGCCTGTCTTGCTGTAACAGCCCTATTCTACAAGTGGGGTGCTGGGTAGGGATCACAGTTCCTGGTATTAGCACATCCCTCAAAGCTGTAGAACTTATTTTTTAAAAGATTTTATTTATTTATTTGAGAGAGAGAAACCACAAGTGAGGTGGGAGGGTGAGGGAGAGAGAGAGAGAGAGAGAAGCAGATTCTCCACTGAGCAAGGGGCCCTATGTGGGGCTCAATCCTGGGACCCTGGGATCACAATCTGAGCTGAAGGCAGACGGCTTAGCCGCCTGAGCCATCCAGGTGTCCCTGTGGAACCTTTCTTTAATGCCTTGGTTCTTGTTCCTTCATTATTTTTATCTTAAGTATTCTTTCATCTTTTTTCTCACAAGATGTGAGGTTCCAGGTTCGTGTTTAGATCTCCCTACAGGAATATATCTCTGCTAGACATGGCAGATATTCACTGAATCCTTCTTGACAAGTTTTTATTGCATTCTGATAAGTTAATTAAAAATAATTTTATTGGTTTTCTCCAGAGTGAATTAAAGCAGTGCTTCTCAGACTAGAAGGTGCAAACCAGATATCTGGGGATTTTGTTAATATGCAGCTTCTGATTGGATGGGCACAAGAGTCATCATTTTCTCCAGTTCCCAAGTGATGCCAGTACCGTAGACTGTACCTTGTGAAACAAGGAATGAAAAGATGGTGCCAGGCCAGGAAGATTCAACAGCATAAAAATGTTAGGTCTGTTTAAGCTGAGGTGCAAAATCATGGTATTCCAATTAAAATAACAAGGTTGTTTTTTTAAGGACTTAAATTGGCTCAAAAGTTACTTTGGAAAAATAAAAATATCCCCCAGATTCTTAAGTAGATGAGTGGACTAGCCCTACCAGATACTGAAACATGATACAAAGTTACAGTATTTAAAACAAGCTCATGAACAGACTGGAAGTTCAGAGAAAAAATAGAAGTCCTATGATAAGCCCCAGTACAGATCACATATATGTCATGTATATGATCAAGTATCTGATAAAATTTTTATATGGGTGCATTTAGTTTATGGTAAAGGTATTGCAGTGGGGCACAACCGGATTATTCAATAAATGAAAAATCTAACCAAAAAATAGACAAAATGGGTAAATGATTTATACAGTTTACAGAAAAGCCAGAAAGTCTCAAACTTACGAAAAATATTCTACCTCACTGATAAGTAATAGAGAATAAAACTGTAACGAGAGACCACTTCCCCATCTCCTAGATTAGGAATGGTAAAAAAATTTGGTAAGACTGTTGAGAGAATGGGCAAAAACACAGGCAGCCTCAGGCATCACTGCAGAGGTGGAATTGGCTTATGGTCAGAGAAGGCACTTTAGTATTCTGTACCACACATACCTATATGCTCGTGGCAGGGCCTAGGCACCACCGGCATTTTGGGTCAGCTAATTCCGTGTTGTGGGGAACTGTCCTGTGCCCTCTAGGAAGTTTAGTGGTATCCATGGCCTCTACCTACTAGGTGTCAGTGGCACCCCCCTAGTTGTGACAGACGAGAATGTCTCCAGACATGGCCATGTCTCCTGGGAGCAAAACTGCCTCCTCCCTCACCCCGCAGTTGAGAACCAGTGTCTTCGAGCAGGCAATTTCACTTGCAGTAGTTCATCCTCCTGATGTACTTGCACATTACAGTGTGACCTCCACCCAGAAGATTAGTAATCACAGCATTGTTTATTGTACTAGCAGGGGATTGAGGAACTGAGTGACTGTTGTGAGGACGTGTTAAATCAGGGTACATCTACACAATGGAAAATGATGCAGCCGTTAAAAAGAATGGGTTTTTTAATGTGTGGATACAGCTCTGCTGGTATTTATTGAGTGAAAAAAAAGTTGGAGGGGGTAAAACTGAAAGCATTGTCTACGCTTTAGACAAAAAAGGTAAAATAAATAGGTTTATATGAGTGTAGATTTCTAGAAGAATATGCAAAACCTAAAAATAGTGCATGCCTCTGGGAAGAACTGTGCGTCCAGAGACAGGTTGGGATGGAAGATCGTCACTGTATATTTTTATACCGTTTAAATTGCATGTATTGCCTATTCAAAACAATTGTTAAAATAAAAAATAAGGGGTGCCTGGGTGGCTGAGTCAGTTAAGCATCCCACTCTTGGTTTTAGCTCAGGTTGTGATCTCAGGGTCTTGAGAGCGTGCCCAGTAACAGGTTCTGTGCTCAGTGGGGAATCTGCTGGAGAGTCTCTCTCTATCCCTCTGCCCCTACTGTTCCAGTACTCTCTCTCTCTCCCAAAAATAAACAAATTTTTAAACCAAAAAAGGCAGAAGGACATGCTAGTTCAAAAAAATCTACTCAAAGGAAAAGACTAGTTAATTTACTGTATGATAATTTTAAAAATAAAACTTAAGGGACGTCTGGGTGGCTCAGTCATTAAGTGTCTGCCTTCAGCTCAGGTCATGATCCCAGGGTCCTGGAATTGAGCCCCACGTGGGGCTCCCTGCTCAGTGGGAGGCCTGCTTCTCCCTCTTCCACTTTCTCTGCTTATGTTCCCTCTCTTGCTGTGTCTCTCTGTCAAATAAATAAATAAAATCTTTAAAAAAAAGAAACTAAAAGGGCATCTGGGTGGCTCAGTGAATTAAGGCTTCTGCCTTCGGCTCAGGTCATGATCCCAGGGTCCTGGGATTGAGGCCTGCGTCGGGCTCTCTGCTCAGCAGGGAGCCTGCTTCCCCCTCTCTATCTGCCTACCTCTCTGCCTACTTGTGATCTCTGTCAAATAAATAAATAATATCTTAAAAAAAAAAACTAAAAAAGAGAGTCCTCAAAAAATTGACTAACTATTGACCCGGCAATTCTACTTCTAGGTACATACCTAAGAGAACTGAAAGCATGAACTGGAAGAGATATTTATACACCCATGCTCCCAGCAGCACTATTCATGATAGCCAAGGGGTAGAACCCAAGTGTTCACTGGCAGTTGAATGGAGAAGCAAAATGTAGCATATACGTACAACGGGGATATAATTCAGCCTAAATAGGAAGGAAATTCTGCATATCCTACAACACAGATAAACACTGATGACATTATATTGAGTGAAATAAGCCAGTCACAAAAGCACAAGTATTGTCTGATTCCACTTATATGAGATTCTTGAAGAATGAAATTGATAGAGACAGAAAGTAGATGAGTGGTTGCCAGGGCTTAGGGGAAGGGGTCCTAGGGAGTCCGTGTTTCATGAGTACAGGGGTTTAGTTTTGCAAAATGAAGAAAATTGTGGAGATGGATGGTGGTAAAGCTCATACAATACTATGAATGTACTGAATGCCACAGAACTACACATTTAAAAGTGGTCAAAATGGGAAATTCTATGTTACATATATTTTGCAAAAAGTGAGTTGAGATTAATCAAATCAAAGTGTGCTTAAGTACATAGTTTTCCCCCAGAAACCATCAAACCTAAGAAATCACAACAGGGAAAACAAATTCCTCAATAAAGGAAAGATGGAAGGGAAAAATTCTTAGACTGTACTTTGTGTTTCTGAACTGAATGAAAACATCATTTGTAAAAAAAAAAAAAATCATCATCAGAATCTTACGATTCTCTCCACTTATTTGAAAATTTCAACATGATTTTGAGAACTCCACTGAAAGTGGGGAGAGATGTCAGGGTCAGTAAGTCCAGTAAGCCAGAACCGCCAGGATCCCTGGTTTAATCGGTCCTTCCCAACTCAGGACCGGGCCAAGGCTGAGGCTTTGAACAAAAAGCTCCGAAAACAGCTGGCTGAGTTCCGCTCGCCCCAGGTGATGGTGTATGTGCGGGAGAAGATCTTTAATGGGGAACTGGAGAAGATCATCAAGATGTGGGAAAGGAAAGTGGAGATTGCTGAGGTAAGTCCCAGAGAACCTCCAAGACAGGCAGTCTTTCATGTCCTTCACATTCTTGTCTAGGGTTTTGCTTTTAAGCTAAGAATACCAATGTTCGGACATACAATGACTATGAGAAATCTCAGCAGTCCCTTCAAGTCTTATAGGAAAATGAAGGATGCCCTTTCTTTTCTTTCTTTCTTTCTTTCTTTTTTTTTTTTAAGTTGCCTTTTCAGTGTTAGGGACAGGGTCTTTTCAAGTGATCAGGAGGAGACTTGGTAGTAATCATGTTTTTAGTTGCTTGTTTTCTTAATGAATTCTCGAAGTTTCTGTATCACTTCCCCCACCATTGGTGATTTAGTCATTGCTACTTTATACATGGAGAAGCCAGTTTTTTAAAAAATGAGATAATAATGGATTTTTAATATCAGAACCTGATTCCATGCATTTACATAGTTGCCATGGGTCTTTCATCCTTAGTAACCCACAGCCTTTCCGTATGGTACAGCGTGCTCAGAGCACCCTAGCCCCTTGTGAGCGTGGAAGAGAAAAATGAGAAAGGTGCAAAGGGTCAGACAAAAGGAAGGGAAGGCACCAGATCTGCCACAGGCCGGGTTGCATACAGAGGGCACTGGAGACATCAGCAGAGTAGCTCAGAAACCCAGGCAGGTCACTTTGGAAGCCTGGCTTTTTCCTGTCTAGACCCAGGCTCCTTTTCTCCCAGGACTTTCTCTTGCCCTTCCCATGGCCACTTGGTGGCAGGGAGTGAATTAGGATCCAAACTTGGGCCCATCAGATTTGGAGCCAAGAAGCAGCCCCACAGGAACCTGCAGCCTCTCCCTTCACCAACAGAAACAAACTCTAGGAAGAGTCTTGCAGCCTCGAATTGCCCACACACCCCCTGCAGCCTTGCAGGGCTAGATGCGGGTTGTGTTCTGGAAAAATCACCATTGCTTTTCCCCAAATGACCTTCTCCCCACCCCACCCCCTTTTTCCTTTTTGCAGATGTCCTTAAAAGGCTACCGCAAGGCGTGGAATAAAATGAAAACCACCAATGAGCAGTTGCAGGCAATCTGCCCCCCTGAGAAATAGCCTGAGGGAGGCCACAGCTGCAGACCAGCGGGATTCATTAAAATCATCAGTTCCTTTCCAGTCAAGGGGTCCTCTCACTGTTCCCTGTGCTGCGTGGTGTCCCCGACTCTGGAGCCGTTAACACTTGAAAGAACCACAGGGCACTCTAATGGTTTGACACTTGTTAGCCCACATTTAGTTCACAAGCACAAAGGAAAGTGACCATCCCGCATGCGGGAGTGGGGCAGAGGAGCCAGCCAGCCCAGAATGCGCCGTGGGCCTGTCCGTGGCAGCCTGGGTGTGCCAACTCAAAAAGACAGACACCAAAACGGCGTGGTGGCTGCCGGGCGCTCAGCATCCCGAGCTTACTCTTCAGTTGGGAGGGTTAGCTCCTAGACTAGATACCGTTGCAAAAGAAAACCAGCACAGAGAAAAACAAGATAATTTCTTGGGGCTGATGTAACCTGTTCTGACCTGAAGTAGACCCACCACTGTCCCCAGCCTCCCCGTAATAGTCATAGTACATGGGTTGTGCTGCCATAACAGAAGACTTGCCTAATTCCCGAAACCCTTTCTCCCCCATGTCTAGACTCTTTCTAGAGCTGTTTGTTGGCAATGCTGGCAATGCTGGCAATGTTGGCAATGTTGGCAATGTTGGCAATGTGTGAGAGGTGACCTTTATATGTCCTTGCAAGTATGTTTGGGACCATTCACCCTGGCCCAGCCCGGAATGTTTTTTCGGCGTCATGATGACATGTGATGAGTAGCTGGAGAAAGGAAACGATTCCTCCCAGTGGTGGAAGGAAGAGAGGGGACGGCTGGTTTTCTTAGTCTTGGACGTAATCCAGTCGCTATAGTCTTCCACCTTGATGTACAGAAATAGGCCGGGGCATTTCTCACCACCATGGGACAAGATTCCTGTCAGCAACCACATGTTCAGTTTCTGGAGCTGGCACATCATTGGGTTTCCTGGGTCCCCCTGTGACAAAAGACAGAAGGCTTCAGGTCTTAGAAAAACTTATTTTAAAAAATATATATATATCCTTCTGCAATTTACTATTTGTTCTAGAAATGCTTTACGCTAGTTCTCACTGGAGATGGGGTAAATTATAGGCTATCAATTCCAAACTAGGCGGCCACTACCACAAATTCCAACACGATGACTTTTTCTTTTATTATGCAAGTTATTTGTAGGCTTCTGCAGTTTGGCTCTAGCTTTCTGGTTCCCATTTCATTTTCATGGCCCTTTGACTAAATCCTCTCTGTCTTTTAGTTTCTCATTCCTCAAATGTTGACCCTCTCCCCTCGTTTTCTGGCTAGAATGCTTACATTTCTCCTTCTCCTCTCTGCTTTGTTTCCGTCCTTCATTTAAGCTGCTCCCTCCATCCCACACTCCTGCCGAGGTCAGAGTCACACACCCCCAGGATCACTGGCCAGGGAAGTTCACAGCCTGTCCACCCAGGGCAGCTGTCTGTCCGCGCCCCTGCTCTTCAGCCCTGCCCATGCTCCCACAGGAAGTGCTCTGCCACACAGACCTTATCTCCCTTCAAGGGAGCGTGTGGGCGCTCGGCACGCTTCCCTACATACATGACCCCAGTGAGTCACCTACTGGTCTCTGAGTTAAAGTGTTTGTACCACAGGCAGAACTCCTAACGCCATGCCTGGTGTACAGTCTGTGCTCAATAAAGAATCAGCTGCCATTATCCTGGTGTCTAGAAAAGGCCATCACTTTTCTGTGAAAAGCTGAGAAATATGGGAATAGCAACAAGACAACTTCTAGGTATCATTTACCTTACCTGCCCCACCCCGAGGTTCCCCTTCAGGGAATACCTGACCCCCATTCCTGCTCTGTGGTCCATCGTGGCCCAAGAGGGGTTGTCATTCAAAGGCTAGCCAGCCCCTTTGATCTGCGTGGCTGCCTCTGTAGGAGGACAGGGCAAGCACACGTTGTTCTTGCTGTCCCGTGCTGCCAGGGAGCAGAGGACAGAGATTTCATCCTGAGTTCTGGCTGGCAGTGGTAGTGCTGTTGAGTCGGCTCCTGTCTGCACCTGCTCATGTCTACCTGGGGCACAGAGGCTCTCGGGCCAAGCATAGCATGGTCTCCCCTCCTGTCACCAGTCCCACCCTCAGTTTACTTAAACTATGGTTTCATAGCTCGAGGAAGGAAAACAACACAATTTAGGACAAATGGTTTGATGAATGAGTGTGGGGTAGACCTTCCCAGCTGTGCATGGTTTTGTAAGTTGCCGTGTCTTGTGGGGATAGAATACACCGCTTTTTCTCTTCCTCATAATCTGTGGAACCAGACTTCTGAAGCCCAAGCAGCTGAGAGAAGTAGGACAGGGGCTCCTCTGGAGCAGTCCCACTGCATCTCCCAGGGGAGCCGCCCCAGCTTAGAGGGGCTCTTTCCTTGCGTGATCCTCAACCTTGACAGTAAACAAAAGCCCTAACGGTTGTGGGGAAATGGGGGGCGGCAAATTCTGAGTGATTCCACTTTGGGTTGGGTTTCTGGGCACCCACTAGGCAGATACTGGATTTAGGTGGTTTATTGTACCGTCATCTACATATTTGAATGACTTTGAGGATCTCTGGACGCTAGAACATGTTTCTGAAAGGAAAGGATCCTAGGTAGACAAGTCACTGTTTGAGCCAATTTGGAAGCACAGTTCAAAAACAAAGGACTGACTGCAGGTGTGCGCCAGTTAAAAACCAATAGGTAAAAACCAGTTTGAACTTTGCAGATAGATTTAAAGAGGTAATCATTTAGAGTATGCGCAGCTTACCATATTCCATTGAATCTAAGATGCTCTTGAAAAATTAGCATCTTTGGAATGAAATGTGTCTCTTAATTGGTTAATGTCAGAGTTCAACTGGCAGCATTTTCTCATGTGATATTCCATAGAAAAAATGGTGTATTCTACAACTTAGAATCTTAGATTTGATGAAATAAGGTGCTGGATTGATGGAATGGCTGATAGCAGGATTTTGATAAATAGCTATATTTTCTACTGTATTGTAACACATTATCTACCTTAAAAAGTTGTTAGCCTTCCACCTGGTAGAGTCCAATACAAAGTAGGCACTCGGGGCACCACAGTGGCTCAGTGGGTTAAGTGTTAAGATCCCAGACAGAGTCTTGGGATCCATCCCTGAGTCAGGCTCCTTGCTCAGTGGGGGGTCTGCTTCTCCCTCTGCCCCTCCCCCACCCCTGGCTTGTATTTTCTTTCTCTTGCTCACTCTCTCTCCCTCAAATAAATAAGTAAATAAAATATTTTTAAAAAGTAGGCCCTCAATAAATGTTGAACCAACTTTGGAAGGTCAAACTTACTGCCTAGTGAAAGGCAGTCCTTCAAACATTTGCAATAAAATTACTTTTAGATAGAATTGTCTGCATATAGGTATTTTCCCCTCTTTCTCTAAAATACTTTCCCTAGATCATCTGGAAAAAAAAATTTCCCCACCAGGGAATCCTGAGTGGATGATCAGCACTTACAGAGGAGAAAAAGTACCTGGAAATCTGGTGGACTTATGTTTTCATCCTTACCCTAACGTTTATTAACTGTGTGACCTCTGTAAACTGCACCTTCTCTGGGTGTGGACATGAGGGAGCCTGGGCCAAGGGCTTGTGAATTTCGGCCATTTTGCTGAGGCAGTAGAAGCACATCTATACAGCCTGCATGAAGATGGAGGGCAGGGCTTCTTACAGAAAAAAACTTTGATAATTGATGAGCACCTAGCATCAGAGTCTAGGCTCCATAGAAGCTGAAGACGAGGACCCCACCCTGTGGACACGCTCCAAGTATATCTGCGTGCATGGTTTGAGCTCACACTTCCAAACTTCCAGCCAGTGAGAAAACGTCTATGACTTAGACATGCTTAATCATGTCACACTGAAAATGGTGCCTGTTTAGGCCATTCAGTAGATTTTTATGGAGCATTTGCTGTCTGCCAAGCACTGGGAGACAGCTAGGAATCCCAGGTGCCAGTCCCTGCCAGTTCCCATGGAGTCCACCATGCAACGAGGGAGAGTCCCAAGGCTCCCTTGAAATGACCACTGCTTAATCTCAGACTTTAGCTTTTACTCCATCATGTTCATACCAAGCAGACAGCATCGGTTTCCTGCTCTACGTGATTGCCACATCCTGTTTTCTTGATTCTGTGTAAAGGACACAGGTCGATGTCTTTCACGGAGATTTTCCTCAGGATACTCATCGTCATGTGATTTCCTGTCTGGACCATGCAACAGAGAGCCAGGAATTATTAACAAGAAGAAATTGCCTATGTCAATTCAACTACAACTCACATATCCAGATGGGAGTGAGTAGAAAATGTTCTGATAAACCCATTTTCCTTATAGAAATCAGGACACGTGTCTGAGTTTTTCTGAAAACTACCTTTGCTTTGAACTTGAATCTGAAAATGAACATATTCCACCCTTCTTCCACATCTACAGAGAATACATTTCCTTGTTCATGTCCCAAGGAAACAAAGATAGCTTACCCAAGAGGATAATCAGTTCAGGGAATAAGATTCCCTGACCCCTCCCTAACTTGGCACTCACTTCAGGTCGTTCCCTGCCTATGTACTTCTAATTTTGGTGTAGGACTAGAAGAAAAAGGACCAAATGCGAGAACGGTCACAGGTAAGGCAAGCATTGCAAATCTTGACTGATTACATGAGGGTTCCAGCCCAACTCCAGAATCTTGAGCAGCCTGAATTATTCAGATAAGCCCCAGAATGGTTCATCCAAGTCACCCCCACCGCTAGCACACACACAGCCTCCTCTAGGAGAAGGAAGGCATTAACTGCGGACGTGGGATTCCATCCTGCCACCCAGCAATTCCGCAAGACTGGGGACACATGCAGCTTTCTGCCGAGGAAGCAGATGGGCTGGACCAGGCTGCTGAACTCTATTGCCGTGTCTGTCTTCAGGAGGGCTATGTTATTCGTCATGGTTTCATTCTCAAAATCCTCATGGATGATGATGGTGTTGACTGGGTACTCTTCATGAGAAATCACTTTGGCATCCATCTTAGCTATACCAACTATAACGATGACGTCCTTCCTAGAGAGAGAGCAAGGGAAACTTGAGAAGCCAAGGCATGATGAAAAAGTCACCCTTCCCTGTTTTCATATTTATTTTTTTTTGTTTTTGTTTTCATTTTTGTTTTGCTTGGAATACTCATTCAACTCATTTTTCCTGGGCTAATTTTTACTGACCCCTTTGGATCCAGTCCCTAGGAAATCTTTTCTGAACCCCTAAGCTTGTGTCCTCCTTTGGGAGCCCATAGCATCTTGGGAATCCTCCATCCGAACATCATTTGTCCTACCACCCCAAAATAATCGTTAAGTTGTGGCTGATTATCTTTTTTTCATGCTTTTTCAATGGTTTTATTTTTTGTTTTTCTACATGGTCATTGTTACGGCCAAGATGTAATCTTGACTCGATTTTAGCACTTAACATTTTAACATAAATATCTTATATTTTCATATTATATA